CAATGTTTGTCTGAAATTACCGATCACTGCGACATTGCAATTCAATACATAGATACCTGAATATCATCCTGAAACGGAGGTTGATTAGTCCTCTATCACAAAATCATAATTCAGCCGCTGCTCCTGTTCCAAACAAAGGGTAATCAATCCTAAGTCGAAACTTTCACAACTTTGGAATCGCAATCTCATAACAAATAGCAACCTCAAGACAACGTATAACAATATTCGGAAATCAGCATTTATTTCGTCAATATTGTGGATTTTTAATCTGCAACAAGGTGGATGTACCAATCAATGTTGCACGTCGCTGAGACTTCACACGTCTGTGGTACTCGCTAACACAACCAAGACATGAAAAGTTTTTGATCAGGTTAAACCTGCTACCGAAAGAAAGTCCAGATAAAACGTTGATCACGCATTTTTGATCAGGCTAAACCTGCTGCTCAAAAAGTAGCTACCAATAAGAGCCCAGATAAAACGTTGATCACGTTGTTGCCGGCGAGAGAAAGTTGGTCTCAGCACGGCTGTCAGGAAGACAAAGCACAAAACCTCGCCAATCACTGCATTACAATGCGCACAATACTATTTCTAATACCATGCTACACGCACACACAATATCATCAGTTTAGAAACTGGCATCAGTTTTTGAGGATTACTGGTAACCTGGATTGTGTCTACCCATTTGCTACAGGTAGTCGGCCTTTGACCGAGCGGTGGAGTTTGACGGCTGTACCGCACGACGTTTTGTCGCGTTTCGATTGAGCAAGTGTTGGTGTTTGACGGCTTTACCGCGCAGCGTGTTGCCGCGATTATTCTAGAGAAAAAGTTGGAGAGAGAGTTTGACGGCAGTACCGGGTGGAGGTGGAGTTGGAGTAAGCGTTGGTGTTTGACGGCAGTACCGCACGGCGTAATACCGCGTTTAGAATCTGACGGCACTATGTAGGTAGGCGTACCGCATCACCGCATGGATGGGTGTGTGTACACATAACGACAGCAGTCGAAAACTGACAAGTCATCACGTGCCTGTTCATGCCTACAAGCCCAGTAGACGGCGGGCTTCAGCTAACGATGGCGCTGCTGTAGGTCTTGGGAGCGCTGCTGTAGGTCTTGTGGGTGCTGCTGCTGTGCAGGCCCTCGCCGCTGTTGGCCTCTTCGTCTGGTTGGATGTCGTCAGCTGCGCATGCGGCTGCCCATCGGTGCTACCCAATCACCCTCGACAAAGTCGTTAATGCTAGCGTGTTGGATAAACCGGGTAGGCCGAAGCTTAGGTTTGTGAAGAAAGGCTACTCGGCCGGTGAGGGCCGAGATGGGAAAGTCTTGTATTAGAGGGAAGAGGGAACAGCAGAGAACAAAAGAGAGTGAGCAACCGAAGAGAGCGTCACCACACCTATCCGTCACGCAATTCAGATCACTCATCGAATCTCCGAAGAAACCAAGCAGAAACTCCCTGTTCCTCCGCAATCTACCAACTGCAATCTCCGTAGATCCATGCCCCATATTCAACCACATTACTATGCTACGAGTATATCTTACAAAGCCTATCAACTCCCACACATGAAGGTCCCTGGCACGTTACCCTAGGAAAGAAAAACGAGAGTCGCGGTCAACACAGCCCAGCGGCCAACACAACACTGAAATGCTGGACAGCATTTCAAACAATATATCTCGGAAATACACGCACCTTGGTCCTCTTAATCTCGACAGCCGAGGCGCGCACGGTCAGACTACCGTGTTCGTGCACAGCGAAGTGGATACCATTCGTGTCGACGACCCCGTTCGACCGCAGCAAGGCGTTCTCCCTCACGTGCAGAAGCTTTAGGACAGGATATCGTGCCAAGAGAGCAAAAGGTCAACGGGCGGTGCGGGTAAATGGCACTAAATGTCGGACAGACACCTCATCCACCATACAATATCCCAAATCACACAGAAGCCTCTCGTTTTCTCACAAGGATCCAACACCTCTAATACCCACGGCATGTATGCCGTAGTACTCATGGCTGCCAACGAGGAACTGAACTCTCTTGCTTCCGGGGGAAATCTTGATCTGTCCGACAAGGCAGCCAAAAAGAGCGACCAAACGCTACGGTAGGAGAGAGGATCCACACACAACATGCACCCAACATTCGATCAGGCGCCATTGAAGGAGACAATCTCACTCACACACCGCAATACACTGCTTAGTACGCCAGGCACCATAGTAACGAGGCCACTCTAGGGTATGCCCTCCGCCCTCTACCCGTTATTCGAGTGCATCATCATTGACTTGACGAAACGTGATACGGCGCATATTATATTATCGGGTAATAACCCGCCGCAGAGGCAGCGAGGGAGTATCGGAGAGAGAAAAAGAGTATAAAGAAAGGTAGGCCGGGCAGCAAACCATGAGTACACACGATACTATACTGTCTGTGCTGTAGCTTACCACCGGGGGGTCGCACGAGATCGAGTTCAAGAGGGTGGTTGTCCCTTTCAGCTCAGCAGGCGGAAGGTCCTCGCATGTCTGTACCACATGTTCCTTCTGCTGCTGCTGTTGTGCTCCCGCCGTCGTGTGTCCGGCCAGAAGCAGTCCGAGGAGCAAACAGATAGTGCTCGCAAAACCCTTCATGGTTGATGAAAGGCTGTGTATGAGTCAATGAGATCGCCACAAATGAGTCGATCTTGCTTCCCCGAGACACGAACCAATGGTGTGCCGGTGCCGTGTGCGGTTTGGATGGGGCATGCGCGGCGAGAGATAGCTTACAAGCAGGATACCACCAAGATCCCAGCGGTGGTATCCATATCAATCTCAGAGACGTTCAGATTCCTCAGATGAACTGAACACACATCACAGGTCTTTCTCTTTGTTACTCACTCAAAGAGTGCAACGTTTGCCCTTGATTCTTGAACCGGTACTGTACACTAGTCTTCGTGTTACTGTTGTAAGACTCGTTTTTTCTAGCAAAATTCATGCGATACATTCGAAAAAACGAAATTTCGTGGTCCCCATCCACGTACAAGCATACCCGTCAGTACCGTATACCGTATACCGGTAGTTTCTGAAGATGAATTCGAGCACAATTGATTCCAGCAGGTAGTTTTTGCGCATCACGTATATAACAAAAAGACAGCAACTTTTGACCTCCAATTGGGACTTCCCTGATTGGTAGTTATCATGTTTACTGTTTCGTATGTAGACGACTTTTCTTTCGAAGACGATTCATCAGTACTACAGTAACTAGTACTATGAAGCACAAATATTTCACGTGATTCCTAGCCACCGTGGAGTACCCGGCGTGTCCCACGACGTCATACCTTTTCGTCCCTCTCTCTCTCTTCATCCCAACAGAGACGACAGTAGAAGACCGCTGGACGTGGGAAGACGTAAGCACCCTCAGCGAATGTTCCTCGCTGAAGACGATGTCCACGTACGTGGGAGACGAACGGGTTGGGTAGTGGGTCCAGCTGAACGGGGCACTTGTGAACTGCATGTATTTGCTTTGCAGGCCCTGAGGGGCCGGACTCCGTTCCATGTAGAGAGGAACTTTGAGGGGACGCGAGTTGACGCTTAATACTTGGGGGGGCACCACCAAGTCGCGAGAGCCAGTTTGGGTTGTTGTGGCGACCGCAACCAACCTGGCTTCCGATTCACAAGCCCAGTGAGTTTCTTCTGCTGCGTGCGCCAATTCCGCCAGCAGCCAAGGGGTTGGTTGCGAATCCAACGGGAAGCTTATCGGAAACGCTTGCCCATTACCCAACCACAGAGTTTGCGGAACATGACCACCTTTCAGTCTGCGAGCGATCAAATGTTACAATGACATTGAAGGGATCATAGCAGCAAGAGATTCGACGAGCCAACAGATCTGAGGTTCATCCACATCGAGTGCCTACGAACCGGGGGTGATTTAGCAAGTGAGCTCTCCAAACACACATGCTCCAGCATTGGCAGCATTTGTCAGCGCTGGAATATCGAGCTTGGAAAATCGAAGGGGTGTTGCATCTTCCGATATCTTTCCAACAAAAAAGACGGAATTTTGCAGTATTAATTTGCTGGTGTTCCACACAAACCAAAATCGTATCTAAATCATCCCCCGGCTTATTTCGCGATACCGCGCAGGCTCGAGCAAACAAAAAAAGGGGCAAGGAGCGTAAGGCGCATCCCTTCTCACTATGTGTATGTGCCACTCCCAATGTCTGCAAATGGATCGATACCCCACCAGCACACACGACTGCCAAAACCCGTTGAAATGTGGCGCATCCCCGAACCTTTCGCATACATCGATACAGCAGTACGCCAAGAAAACACACAAAAAAAACTCCCCGCCCACAAGAGAAAAACGAAATGTATGCAAAGGGGCCACGGCGTTGAGGACAACACCTCTCTCGGCACGTCATGCAAGCGCACGGAAATGAACCAAAAGTCCCAGGAGCTGTTCTCCCCCTTACAGCCCTTCCCCCCCGAGAGCACCTGCCAAACAAAAGTACAATGCAGGACAAGCCATCACATACCACCCGGCGTCGCGACAACTATGCCGGAAACGTAAGTAGTCTACACCTCTCCATCCCCATGCCCCCGGCCGACTCTCCTGGTGCGCGTGAGTGATCGTGTCGTATCTCCTCTGACCACCACCTCCCCTCACACAGCACGGTGGGTGATGCCAAGACAGCGCGTCTGTCCCTCCCTCATGACGGAAAACACGATACGCAACACGTGCACACACACCCTGGTGCGTGCAGCATGGATATCTTTGCCGTTGCTTCCACCGCCAGCTCCACCAAAACACTGCGGCGTCGAGAACGAAGGTTGCACGCATCTTACAGTCTCACCACCCTCCACCCCCCCTCCTGAAAAATAAAAACATAATTCGACAATAGACAACGCGTGCGAGACGACCACGCCCCCGCCAACAAACACAATAAAAAAGCAAGTGTGCATCACGAGCCAAGGGGGGGAGAGAGAGAGAGAGAGAGACAAAAACAGAGCCCCACCAATTAGACATATGAGGAAGTTAACTCCGTATCCCGTGCACAAAGAACGAGCCCACATGGTCAGCCGCTGGCGAAAAAATTGCCCGACACAACGAAATGCTCAAGCGAGTCAGCTGAAGTACTACTGGCCAGCTCGGCCACCAAGAGAGACAGGACCTGTCTTGTCTCTCCCTCAGCACCCGGCCATTACGGCCGGCCACACACGCAAAAAAAAAAAAACACAACGATGGCAAGAGACAGCGGGGGTGGGTTCTCTCAGAGCACCCCGCGTTACAGCCACAAACATACATAACATACGTGCGATGAGAAGAGAGCGGGGGATACGCAAGCCTCCCCGAACTACTGCGGCGAAGCCGCCCAACAGCTAGCTTCCGTTCGTTATCCCCCGATATCCCCCAAACCCGCAGCGCTACCGCAACACCGACAGCATCAAGAAACGAGAGCATAGCAGGAAGCACGAAAGCCAAAGGTGCGACAGCAAGCAGACCCACCCATAAGAGCTTTTCTCCTTTCATCACCCCACGGGTGGTGCGACAAGTCTCTTCAGGACGTGCCAGAAAGAAGAAAAAAACGTTTCTAACGTCGGCCATCCGCGCAATCTCACGAGATCGATCCCCACTTGGCGTACTTGTCCCTCTCGCTGGCCGCGGACCCGCCGCCGCCGCCGCCGCCGCCGCCGCCGCCGCCGCCGCCTGATGAGCGAGCCCTTCCTACGCTGCCTCCCTGGAAAATAAACCCGCAATTGATCGCGCAACAGGGTTTGGGAGGTGAGGAGGCTCGTAAAAAATGAGGAGCCGTCTCTTGGGCGGGGAGGAAACTCGTAAAAAACGAGATGCCGTGTATGCATCGAAACCCACACGACTGGTCAACACAATCGCCGACACGAGTGGTTTTCCGCGACAATCCGTGCGTCGTGCGTGTACCGAAACCGATGTCGGAGACGTGCCACCCACGCAGAGCAGCAGCCTTGCCTTGCGTGTGACGCGTACAACCTGTGGTAGATAGCTAGCCTTGTGGTGGCGGTATATGCCAAGGATAACGGGAACAGAATCCGAGAGAGAGAGAGAGCTTCGTCTTGAAAAAGCACACGCACGCTATCAGTCACGCCGCTTCGCACCGAAACCCGCTCGCCGAAAACACCCATCCTAGGAAGGCACTCGTGCGAGTGGTCCCATATGTTGGGCCCCGATGACCTAGTTGCGAGATCTCTAATGGCAACAACACCTGTCGCCAGGGCGTCGGCGCTCCTTTTTCGTCCCCGCTACGGATCATGCGTGGGCAGGCCAATATAGCAAGGTTGTTGCTCAACAAACAAACACGCAAAGCCGGCACGAAAAAAACAAAAAAAAAACACACACACACCCGTACCTCGTGACCCCCCCCCGTCATGAGACCCCCAGATCATAAGGTCTTCAGAAGAGTTCTGTGTTTTCAAGGCCTCACGGCGACCGACATCTTTTCATTGGGCAGTCGGTGGTCCATGCCACAAAAACACACACACTGACGTGAAATGATTTCATATAAGGTCGATGACACACACTAAAATGAAACGATTAAGTGTGAGGTATGCTGCTAAAGCATTCACACACACAAACGCGCACATGATTTGGCGGTGCCCCCTCTGCCTGTCCTCTAATTATGTTTCCTGCTATGCATAGGTGACGCTGTGCTTGCCGGCGTGCCTGGGGGTCGCCACGGGTAACACTTCAGGTCAGAACAAAAAAAAAAAAGACAAGACAACAAACAGCACCAGCCACAGGCTCGCCTCGCCGCACCCGTCCGGCTAGCTACATAGCGAAAGCGCGAGAGCAAGTCCGCCTACATACCTTTCCACCTTGCACCTTCTTCTTCTAAACTCAGTAATGAGCCGTCCTGTGACTCGCCTCATCGTATTCTCCGCGACGGCCGTTGTTCATGCCGTTGCTGTACGGCTGACGCCCCCCGCCCCCCTGACCGCCGTAGCCTCCGGCGCCACCGCCACCACCGCGGTGGTTCGCAGAGCCACCGTACTGGTTGAAGCGCTGGCGTAGGCGCCGCTTCTCTCGGATGGCTTCGGCCAACTGTTTTTTGCGTTGTTGCATCAGAGGACAAGGAGGCGTGGATGGGACTTTGGGGACACTGGTTTGCATCGATTCCGGGAGAGTCACGTCGCACGCAAGACTATTCTTCTGGGTGAATGGGGTGGCATGTCGGGTGTAGGAGAACGCCAACTTGTATCTCGTACGGCATGCTCCCGGAGAGTGAGCGGGTCACTCCTCTCGACCAAGACGGGAGGGACTACCACCCTTCCCAACACCAATGCCAGCGCTGCTACAGTCCGTATATCCCGAAAAGAGTTGCAAGGCTCCGTCGTGGTGCTCCCCACGCAGAGGCACGGCACGTCTTTCGGACGACAAACCGACGGCTCTGATTGGTCAACCCCGCTAGTGCGGTCGATGAAATTCAAAGATACACACGCAATGACGTATGTTCATTGGGCAGCGGGAAAGCGGTCACACAACAAGGCACACGTGTCGTTCCTCCTCTCTCCCTATGGACACTCACCCTCTGGCCGAGGTCCTCCAGCACCCGGCGCTCGTGATGCGCGAACTTGGCCACGATGCTAGGTCCGTAGTCCATCTGCTCCTCCAGGGTGAAGTGCCAGAGGTAACCGTGCTCCTTGTAGACCTGCGGCGTATGTAACGACGAAAGGACCAAAAAGGCACCAACACGAAGGCGAGCCAGCAGAAATGAAAGCAACAAATGAATCCGACGTGTCGTCCGGCGTGCGTGACGTTAGGTAAGTGTAACAGCAAAAAACACAAACAATGCTGAAAAAAAACTGCAGAAACAACTAAACACACAAAACCACTGTTGTGCCCCGCTGCCGGTTGAGAACCGTTTCGCGAGAAAGCGCGTTCGGGTTTTTCAGCCCGCTGTGAGACAGGCGTGTTTTCAATGGCAGCCCTTTAACGCGGTTGATACCAATTTAGGGAACTCCTTCATAAAAATAAACGAATATACAAACCATCAAGGAGGTTGAATCCCCCCCCTCCGCCTCTTCAATCCCCTCCAATCCCCCACCTTCCGCTTGAGGCGCGTGAGCGTGTGGTTGTGCTTGACCTCCACGCGCTTCTTGATCATCGTCCCCCTGGGGTTGTACATGTGGTCGTCTCGCGAGCGGTAGAGCAGAAGAAGGTCCGGCAGCTCGAAGATGAAGTACGTCGTCTTCCACTTCTTCACCAGGAGCGTGCGCACCGAGATGCGGGCGAAGCACTCCCCGTCCGCCTTGCCGCCGGCCGCCTGCCGCGGCCTTATGGCCACCTCCCTGTTGGTTGCAAAAGTGAAACAAACGATGGAGCATTGTGGTAAGCGCGGCGCTGCGATGCGGGCAAAGCTCCATCCGCCACCGCCGTCGCCGCCAAATTCTCCTCGAAACGGCAGTCTGTCCGACATAACCCCGCTACACACCGCTATTATGTCGACCAAAATTAAGGTACGGTAAAAGACGTACGAGGGTGAGTGCCGAAAAAAGGGGCGAACAAGCGGCCACGTGTTCACGCAAAAAACGCGGCACCCGGCCAGCAACACCAAGAGCCTCTACACAGGCAGGCTCCGGTTGATTGGCCCATTCCCCGACCTTTCGAGAAGACACTGCGGGGTTGAACAACACTAACACGAATAACAACAACAACAACAACAACAACAACAACACGCAAAACAAGCGTAGTAACGTACGGGCCTTGGAGCAACCAACACTCGTCCAGCCTCCGATCATGAAGTCTGCGCACCCCCCGACGATCACAAGGCGCAAGCCCTGGCGGCATCACTATCGGACGAAGAATGTACTACCTGGCTTGCTAACAAATGTAGTTTCGATTCGTTCAGGTTCGTGGGCTCCTCGAGTAAAAACACGTGAGCTGTTGTGGCCTGTTGAGCTTGAGAAACGTCACAAGTGGTAGATTGCTGCGGCCCTGTCTTTCCTGTTCAGTCATTTCGCACGATTAATGTTACCCCTTTTTGATGGTGCTGCCCTCATGATGAGCTCACTCCGGAGGGATAGTTAGCATGCGTAATAAATTACAAGGTCGTACGGTCTCTCACTATAACCCGCCAGAAATTCTGTGGCGCTGATCGAAAGTGACGAACAAACGAGCAAACAAAACAACTTACCTGCTGCCGCCGGATGCTCCCATTGACCGATCGATGCCAGACAGTCCTCGGCTCCCACCGCCGCCGCCTCCCTGCATATCAATGCCATTGGTGGCCAGAAAGGGGGAGGGCGCCCACGGAGGAGGAGGGGGGGGGGGGGGGTGCTCTCAAACTAACGTCTGGACCAAATTCGTCAGTGGGGTGTGCTCTCAATGTTGTATCTGGACCCGATAGGGGAGTGAGGGGTTGGGTTGGGCTTGGTTTGATCAAATACTATTGTAGCGCGGGAGAGGATAGAAGGAAGGTGACCGGATATGGCAACAGATGCTGGTCAGAATATACTGCCGGGATGGGGGGATAGAGGCTATTAAGTCGAAGCATGAACATCGACGAGGGTGGTGTGGCTTCATTGCCCCCCTCGAGGCCAAAAGCGCTACCGTTCCCACCCCTAGCAGCAGCGTCACGCACTATTTGTGGAAGCTGTTCCACCGTTCACCTGTTCTCTACAAAAGCAAAGTTCGCGTTCCGCAACTGCCGTGGGAGTTTTTGTTTGACCCTCCTCGGCCCTTCCGGGATGGCATTTGTTCGCGTCGCCTCCTTTTCTTAACCAAGGGACTGATTGGGTGTGTCACACACCGTAGGTTCATAAGTCACCACACACGCCGATTTTCAGAGCTCGATTATTCTGCAAGCAGAAACAGCGGCGATACGTCGAGAAGCTTTCCGAACGAGCACCACTTGGCATCCTCTCCGTCGTGGAGTAGTAATCGACCTTTGATGGTGTGATATGCAACCTAGTACGGTCATGGTCATGGCGATGGTCATGGTGGTGGCGGGGGCACTCACAGGAGTCGACGCGCGCTCCTCCTCCTCACGCTGTAGGCGCAACGCAAGCTCCAGGTCTTCCTGTTCTTGCCTGGTACAGCACACAGCAGCACACCCAACGAGCAATGGAATTTGAGGGGAGAGAAACGCGGGCTGGTCTCGAACCAAAAACAGCCCGAAAAAAGCAGTGAGATACCTCAGGGCACCAAGGGTTGTTGGTTGACCTTGCAATAATGGGAGACTTATCTCCATGGACACCACTATCCGGTGTTCCCCGCCCGAAGGGTGCAGCAACAAGCTCTCCCACAACGATTTGAGGGGAGGGGGAAAAAAACGAGGGCCGGTACGGATACTAGAAGGAACTGAGCAAAAACTGAGCAAAAACCGGAACGCTTTTTATTTTGCGTAATTGAATTTTAAGACAACAGCAGCCGCAGCAGCAGCAGCAGCAGCAGCAGCAAGTTATAAATATTATATTAAAGACAACGAAAACATCAACAACAACAACAACAATGACAATGACAAAAATAACATGTTTCTTACCGGATGGAGTTCTTCTTCGTACCAGACCGGTCCCCTCGCCCCCCGCGGCCTCCGCCGCCGCCGCCGCCGCCGCCGCCGCTGAGGCTGGTGGATCTTGAAGCGGCGTCATCACGGGACCCCTCGCTGGCGTCATCGTCTGACCAGTTGCTCTCGTCTTCCACCTGCTCCAAAAAAAAGTTAATAGGAACACAAATGAAGGTTGTAAAAGTGAAGACAACAACAACAACAACAAAAACAACACATGCGCTGTACTGTAAAAGTAGCATCCTTGGCAGACACGTCCAGGTTTCCTCTGTTTCTACTGTTTCTGTCACTAACCCGGAGAATAGCTCATAGCCTCCCCGATGACGCCCCCTCACGGGGTCCCAGACCATGGCCTTTGGAAGCATCTCCGTTTTCAGCCTCACTGAAACGAAGAATTTTCTTCGACCAGCTCGTTGGCGCGGTCGACGCCAACAAATCACATAGACCCACGTGCACACACGAGACAACCGCCGCCAACGGTTCTAACAAAAAAAAAAAAAATGACAAGCAGAGAGGAAATAAACGCGAAATCACGTGCGGCAAACACCACGCAAAAAAAAAGCAACATTACCTACAGCACGAACACACAAAAAAAAAATGAATCGAGGGAAATCTAGGCTCTGAAGTAGTAGTAGTAGTAGAAGCAGCAGCAGCAGCAGCAGCAGCAGCAGCAGCAGCAGCAGCAGCAGCAAGTAGCAAATGCAAAACGGACTCACCGTCTCCTTCTTGGAAGGGAGGTTGCCCCAGATGTCGGCGTCCGTCAGCTCCCCCAGACCCCAGTCATCCGCCGGGGGCGGGGCCTGCTGCTGCTGCTGCTGGCCGTTAGACTGAGGGCCCGGCGCGAAAGGGTCCCAAGCTCCTCCACCGCCGGACTAAACAACGAAGAGGAGGGGGGGGGGGGGGGGGGGATGTGAGTGACTAACCCTTCGAGATCATAAAACCGTCGTCGAAGGTGATGTGTTGGCTGCTTGCTGCGGCTGTGTTGATGCAACGCGGTACAGATGCGCGTTATCCATAGGATGGGAGGTTTATCATGCACTGTCATCGTAATCTGCTTGCAACAGGGCACTGCGTGATACGCAGGGTGCTACAGTACACCTTGCTGGTTATCCACAGTACACCTTGCTGGTTATCCACAGTACACCTTGCTGGCTAATCCACAGTACACCTTGCTGGTTATCCACAGTACACCTTGCTGGCTAATCCACAGTACACCTTGCTGGTTATCCACAGCACGTGTTAGTACAGTACAGCAGTACGCATCGTAACTCGCTGACAACAACAAAAGCGCTGCAATGTTCGAATATCTACGAAGACCAACAAAACCCCCAAGAACGCAAAGAGTCTGTCCTTTTTCTGCCGCAGGAAAGCAAAAAGTCTGTGCTTCTGCCGCCTGCTTTTAACACATCAAATCAAAATGCAGCACTCCGAACGTGCAGTCTTTCTGCATTACATGTGTATTCTCCAAAAATAAGCAAATCAGAGAGGGTGACTCCAGGGAGCACGACTCATCGTGCAGTATGCATGCACGCATGCCTCTGAGCAAAAACTAGTTGCTCAAGAGGCGCACGATACAGCCGATGTGGCTGCCAAAACCCACAAACCTACAGTCAGTATCCCCAAACCGATACGCGCGCAAAGCGAGATCGGCAGTAGTGCAAGCACACGACGGAATCGCCACAAACACGGGTGTGAGAACAAAGGGAAAAAAAAAAACCTTGTTACACCTACAGTGGTTGGCTCTATATAACGCCGGTATGCGCCCGGCGCATCGGCCGGCACCATTCACAGGGACCGGGGCTCCTAAATGTACGGAATGACTTGGTGGTTCAGCTTGTGCCCAGCAATTTCACCGCGCTCTGCTACTCAACCAAAGCTATTGACGACACCCCATTGTACCTGTTGTTGCTGAGGCTGCTGCGGCGCAGCCGCAGCTGTGGTGGTGAAGGGGTCCCAACCGCCGTCCCCGCTCCCCGTTGCCGCACCGCCTCCGCCTCCGCTCTGTACAAAACCAACGGGGGCCGGGGCCAGCTGGTTCGAGAACGGATTGGCCGCGCTCGCGAGGACCTGGTTCTGCTGGTGCTGCTGCTGCAGCTGCTGCTGCGATTGCTGCTGCTGCTGCTGCTGCTGCTGCTGCTGCTGGGGAGTGGCACCGAACCCCTGGTTGTTGAAACCCCCGCCTCCTCCCTGGAAGGGGTTGTTCCCGGCGGCCGCGTTGTTGTTGCCGAAGGCGTTGGTAGACGTCTGGGACGCGGGGAGGGCGAGAAGGCTTCCGCCGCCGCCGCCGCCTCCAGTGGTCGGGGCGAAGGGGTCGGAGGAAGAAGTCGATGGCCCAAGGGCGAGGAGCCCCCCCTGCTGCTGTTGCTGCGGCTGGCCTGTTTAGCGTGAGGCGGTCAACAGGGATTGATCGAGGATTAGGGAAGGAAGGAATCAGCGGGCGGATCTACTCTCCAAGAATCGATTCCTTCATGGTCGATTCTCTTCTGCCCATTATTTTTTGGTGCTTTGCGCAGACCTGAACACAAGCGGAGCAGGAACGCGCCCACAAGACACACGAAAACATCCATCCGCTCGTCCACATCCCGCCACGGCAGTCACGTGCGGTTCCCATACTGCTCTCTGTTATCTCGCTCTTTCGACCCAATCCAGCTCGCCAGAAAACGGTCTTCGGTCTAGTGCGCCGTCAGAATTCCCCAAATGAGGGTACTGTACACAAACACGCCGAAAAATAAACAATCACACACAAACAACACAAACAATCGCACTCAGGTATGGACAGGTTGTGTGCGGGTAGCGATAGCTTGCAGGGCCTTCCCGGACGGCAATGGAAGAAGTTCACCCATCCGGCTTGGTAGAACCTTGGTGGGATTCGCCGCAAGACAGCAGCTCGCCGACATATTCCCCCGGCACCACACATCCATCGTTGGTGGCTCTACTGCAGAGTCCTTTACCCCTTTCTTCCCCCCTCTCCGGCTTGCAAGAGATCAACCAGAGAGATGCTCTTGCAGTGGCGTTGTTGGGTCAACGTCTTAGCGCGTTGAGCGCGACGAAACAGGTTGCGACGACGATGCTGCTGCTTCGCCGGTAAATGAACGCCAACGCCAATCACCAGGGGCGTCTTCGCGATCAGGAGTAAAGTCAAGTCTACCCTTGCTATTGCCGTTGCTTGTCACATGGATAAAACCAACGCACTCATACACACGCTAGCCACGACCGCCTCCCTTCTCGGCATCACCAAAGTCCGTGCAACATCAGTGCCGTTGCCGTGGTTGCTGGTGTGGCTGGTTTCCGTATTTACGTGTTCATGGCCGAGGAGTAGAGCTCGGGCACATGAGGCCGGCCAGGCAAAAAAACTCAGGGGTAGGAGCCCTTGCGTGCGACAACGGATTGATGGTCCCACCTGGCAGAAATGCTGGAAATGCACCGTGCGCTGATTTAAAGTGACCGAAAAGAACAAAAACAAAAAAAACTCTCCTGACGGGTCCAGCGGGGAGGGAGGGGCGGGGGGGGGGGCTATGCCGTGCCCGACTAGCCAACAGCAGTGTGTCTCACCTGTTTGGCTGCCGTAAGGGACCAAAGCTTGCTGCGATGACCCTCCCTGCTGCACGCCAAACGGCTGTTGCTGCTGCTGCTGCTGTGTCATCCCCCCTCCAAACCCGGTGCCCCCTCCCATCCCTTGCTGCTGCATGCCTCCCTGCTGCTGCATGCCTCCCTGCTGCTGCATGCCTCCCTGCTGCTGCATCCCTCCCTGCATCCCGGCACCCTTACCAAGCAAGAGCCGCAGGCATGGGTAGGAGGGCAAAAAACGTACCAGACCACGGAAAAGCGAGAAACACCAACACGACAAAAAGTAAGGCTCCGTGAGGCAAGACTAATCGCTTACAGACAGCGTAAATCAATCGTCCATCGCGCCAATCGCAACACTTGTTATCCTAACTATTGTCGCCACAACAGCAGCAGCACCACCACCACCACCACCACCACCTGCGGCAACAGCAAACCCCACAACAACGACAACATAATTAGCTCCAACATCAACAGCAGCAGCATCAACAGCAACAACACACTCAACGCAACGCAATCAGATACAACAACAACAGCAGCAGCAGCAGCAACAACACTAGCGCCACAAACAACAGCTACAGGCCCGGCGGCCGCCAAACCTTTCAAGCATCAACGACACCCTCACCACCGGCACCCACCGACCGCCCATCCACCCCAGCCCCTAACACCTCCACAACATAAAACGCCGAACACAATCTACACCGGCGCCCCGTACCTGCTGTTGGGGCTGCTGCCACTGCTGCTGCTGCCCCCCCATCTGCGTGCCCCCTCCATAGCCTCCGTCGTTGGCGCCGCCCCCACCCGCATTGTACCCGCCGCTGTCGTCGTTACCTGTGCCAAACGGCACCAAAGCCGCCGACATGGCTCCTCCGTTGGGATCGAAAGGGTCCACAGAAGCTGACAACACACAATAGCGGCGGGGGGGGGGTCTTGAGAGTGGAACCGGAAGGTCTGTGCGATTCAGATAAGCTAGGTGGGGCTCCTTTCTGTTACTCATTGACGATTTAGTCGTTTGGCTTAGGTCGTAGGATCGTACCTTGACGATTTAGTGATTAAGCCGTTTGGTCATGCGCCAGTGGAGCACTTCGCGGGTAAGCTACACAGCGGAGACATTTGACATGGCTCGGTGGCATACACTCGCTGGCAACGCAGTGTTTGCATACCACACCTCCGACGTTTCCATTCATCCACGGAACACACGAAAACGACTATAACAGCGAGCCCATCAACGCGACGGGCAGTAAGAAGACAAAACCATCGACCAAAACAAGAGCAATTCGCCGAAAATGAACTACTCTCTCTCTCTCTCTCTCCCATTCTCTCTCTCTCTCTCTCTCTCTCTCTCTCTCTCTCTCTCTCTCTCTCTCTCTCTCTCTCTCTCGCGCGCGCGCGCGCGCGCGCTCTCTTCTCTCGACAAGACGACTACAGTCTGCTGGCGGCTCAAAAGAAGCACAGAGTCGTCCAACGGTTCAAAGCACGGCACCGACAACACAACCCGCTACGACCAAGACCACGACAAGCGCACGTCATACGCATCATGCCCTCCTTCCTGGGAAGCGTGAAACCCGGGGCATTATCGGCACACCTCTACTGACGCCGACGTGCACCGCAACGGTTACATCCCTTCCCCCTCGTCTCATACATACACCACCCCCACTCACGCTTAGCAGGGATCTGGTTCAGCGGCAGGTTATCATAGGTAGGCTGCTGCATCTGCTGCTGCATCTGCGGCTGCATCTGCTGCTGACCGTTTCCCGAACCCACGCCCCCCAGCCCCCCCCCCCCGCCGTCCTTGTCCTTCTTGAAGCCTTGGATGGAGAAAGCGTCGATGCCGTCGAGGCCAGGCTTGGGGGCAGGCGCGGGAGCAGGCATGAAACCTCCGCCGCCGCTGCCGCCATTAGTGCCCAAGCCGCCCATCCCCAGCTGCTGCTGCGGTGTCCTGCGAAAGCCGGGATAAAGTTGCGGGGTCTGGTTGGATTCGCGGGATCGGATGAAGGTAATCTGGATTTGTTGTTCACTGCGCCAGGCCGCGTTCTATTCTAAACCACGTGTTGACGGTTTGTGCTTGGGATTGGTTGGAAAGCTGCTGTAAAAGGGAGCCAAGATCGCTGTGGGACCCATCAGCTTTGGTTTCGGTTTCATTTATTTTCTTGGTCGGATGAGAGGGCGAGTTCAGCTCCTACAGAACAAAGAGAAACGTTGCGGAGAGAAAGAAAAATGCATACAATAATACAGCTTGACCCATACATGCAGCAGTATGCATGCAGTACGACCACGGACAATCCGGCAGGAGCAACAGCCCGACGATTGTACCGCGGCTGGCTATCTATCTGGGAATATTGTAGTCATTTTCACACTGGGAACTATGTCTATCTACGACTTTCTCTCTCTCTCCCTGTGCTCTCGCTCTCGCTCTCGCTGACAACGCATTCGAGTCACAAGGGTGAAACTGAAACCGTTCCAAAATGTATTCGTCGGTCCGTACGCGGAATTCACCGTTTCGGTGGCTAGGACAGTTAAACCTTACATTAACCACTGCTATACGATGAAGTGGAAGTGAGGAAGGAGCCACCCCAAGCATCCCCGAGTTTTTCTCTGGGACAACACGTGTGGGGGTCGCTGGGTTCCGCGCGATATTTCGAAGCTTGAAGACCATACTGCTGTACTCCAGACATTCTTTGTGAAGTATGTAGTGCGAGGAATGGTGCTTTCGGTCCCAGAAACTTAATGCTAAAATGTTTAGGCCATGACAAATGTACTCCAGACATTCTTTGTGACGTATGTAGTGCGAGGAATGGTGCTTTCGGTCCCAGAAACTTATGCTAAAATGTTTAGGCCGTGCCAAATCAATATCGAACACGGCTTTGCTGGCTGGGAAAAAGACAAGAAATATATCATGGCTTTGTTGATTCTTCATATTAATTGAGGTGTGCAATCCGTATGCTATGATTCTTTGGGAAATTCAGGACATCAACGTTGAGCTCTGCCCTTGTTTTATCTCTTCTTCGACCACTCAGAGCTCGATTTCGATTGTTCGAGACTATCCGCACTTCCACAGCCCCGGGTCTAAAAGTTTCAAGTTTCCTCGGACAGGAAGTGAGAAGGTGCAAACTTGGTGAAACTACCATCGGTGATACAAGACACCGCCTGGACTGATGCCAAAAGCTCGATTTCCCTTGCCATAGCCGAAACAGAGTAACGGGAGGAAGAATGGCTTGCGTCGGAACCGCCTCTTGCGAGAAAGGACCGTTCAACTTGTACATCCTCTTGGTCATAGAGTAATGGAGCTGTGCTAATCGATCCAGGGGGTGTGATTGATGCCTTATGTGCTCACCCGCGGTATGCAGGTGCTACGGCACTTGTGCCAGTGATCGCACATCCTCGACAGACTTTTCACATGCATACCGCCGTAGGTAACACAACAAATCACACCCCCTTCGGAAAAAATATTCAAAGCTCAAATACCACCCCACAGCAGTAACAAAGAATCGTGGCGTCGAAAAGGTCGTCGGCGTTGGACCCGACTTCTCGACAGCTTTCCGAAAACGTATGTATCTTCTGTTTTCGAGCTATGTACACGAAAATCGGTGCAGGGGGTGTGGCATCTTATGTCACCTTTGGGTAGCTGGATTCTTCAAAAACCGAGGCTTCGTTTCCTACAACACTGCGGGGAATGCATACCGACATGGCCCACATGCTAAATAGGAGTAGGAAAAGGGAGGACCTATTATCATCGCCAAAGTCTCAATTCCTTGTTCATAGGCTTCGACGTTTTCGAGCCTGAAAGCTCCCAGGTTCGTAGATACAAATAATAGGCGCGTTCTGTACGCAGAAAGAACAGCAGTGTAGTGTAGGACACCAGCCCACCAAATGGTACAGACGGACACCTGTTCGCAGACACACGCAGGCCCACCCGACAACCCTTTTCCTGCGGGCAGGCACACACAGCGTTCTCGTCGCATAAGAGAGGGGAGAGGTGCTCACGCAACATGGCCGCAAGAGTGGCATGCACCATGCCGAGGGGCGCAGACGGGCAGCAATCTCGGATGCCTAACTTCGATCAGAGAGTCCACGCCCTCGATGTCGTACTTGTATAAATAAACACTACGGAAAGAAGTACTTCAGTATATATTCCATATTTCAGGGTACTTCGTACTTCGTACTTGATAATTTTTCCTCTGCGTAACATTCCTAAATTCTACGCAGAGGAGTGATGAGCGTCATGGAAACTCCCAATTCTTCTTGTTGACACAAACATGAAATGCGAGTATTTTTCGTGTTTCTCGTGAGAATGGCACACGATGAAGAGGGGGCCAGACTGCCTGTCGGACCCTTCTCGGGCTAAAAGTGAAGGCAAGGAGGCACCGCATGAGGAGTTATTTGTTGCTCCTGCGTACACCAAAGGTGTGTGGTGTGCCATGCATGCTGCGCATACAAGTAGCGCGCCGAATATTTATGCATAGATATGTATTCATGTCTTCACATTAGAAACCGTTACCGATCTCTGCTCAGTACCTTTTGGTGTCCGTATCGGTCCAACTGACGCGGAACCCTTTCCGTTCCGTGGTCACAGGCCAACTACCCCAATGGCACCTGTTGACGTTGCAGATAGCCTCATGTACTGGAACACACACGTGTACTACTATATTTGTCGAAAGAAAATGATGCACCTCTAAATTCGCTCGAGGCTCCGACTGCTGTTGCATCCTACACGCCTGCAAAAGCATCACTGCTTCCTGGCCGCTGCTTTGCATACCGGATACCGAAGTTCTCTTAATCAATGCGTGAACGAACGTGTTACAAACTTAACGGAGGGATCTCTACAACCAGCTGCGTGCTCTGCTTTGGGAACACGTTCTGGTTGTGGTGGCATTCCGCGCGATTTCCTCTTTTTTTGGTGATAAAATTTCAACCGTGGTGTTGTTCTATCTCCCCATCCGCGAACATGGTCTACATCAGCATGCCAACAGTGCAGCAACCGGGAACCCTGCTCTACATGCATGCAGCACCAACAGGCGCCGACATGTGCATAATGCGCGTGCGGCAGCGGCGGCCCAACTTCGCCCCCACATCCCCTCTTTACCAGAAAATCAACATGACAAGGGGTCGCGGCAAAAACACGGGTCGTTGCGCAATGAAAGATGAAAAATGCGCCATCACTTCCGTGTTCAGAAAGACTACTGCTGTACACAGCAGTACAGCTGTAATTTAGTCGAAATACGACGCTTGTTGAACGTTGCACAAATCGGGATAAGAACCGCGTACAGATGTTTGCGCTAGTCACGAGTCATGCAGCACAGCTTTCGGAACCTGCGCTGCGGGACCGTGCGTGTACAACTTGCCTCCACAGTAGCAGTAAGGCTCAAAACATGACGAAAGCGGAGCCGGCGGCATGGGGGGTGGAAATTTGGGGATAGTCTACATCTGAACGTCGAAGAGGACAGAAAAAGGGAGCGATTGTTGCTGACGCGGACCGTTACTGCTGTCATTCCCGTTTCTACCGCTGTCTGCGGCACAACCAGTTTCGGGGTTGCCACGACTGCGTGTGGGTAACACGTTCTGACACACACGGGTGACAATACCGGGCGGGATACACGTGAACAGAGGCAAGTGCATTCCAGAGAAGTTCACGGAAAGAGGGGATCAAGAAATTACACCGGGGTGGAACCCAGCGACATAATTGCAGTCCCATTTTCAGGGGGGCGTGTGCCTCTCTATGCTTCTCACGTCTGAAATCCAGCGTCGCCTCCGCCACCCTGAGGGTTCCAAGACTGCTGCTGCTGCAGCGGCGGAGCGGCCCATTGCTGCGGCTGCTGCTGCGGCTGCTGCTGCGGCTGCTGCTGCGGCTGCTGCCCGTACGTGTTGTAAGATTGTTGATTCGTCTGAAAGCCAACCCCCCCTCCCCCTTGGGTTCCGTACGGCTGCTGCTGCTGCTGCTGCTGCGCCGGAGGGTTTACCGCCCCCATCCCTGCTCCTGCCCCAGACCCTCCCCACTGTTGCTGTTGGGGCTGCTGTTGCTGCTGGGGCTGTGCGCCCATCCCATACCCTCCGCCTGCATTGTTCGCGTACATCCTTGCTGCTGTGTGCAGTCTGAATGTGTGCGACAACAAGCTTCGGGGGTTCAAAAGACAAGACATATTGATACAGAGTATATGATGTTCATACAATTTGCGTGCCCCCTGTCAATGATCTTTCATTTCCTTCCTTCATGATGCAATGCACTGCTGCTGTGTGCGCTTGTTCTCTGCGCGCGTTCGCGTGAGGTGTGCGTCTTCAGCTCCCCGCACACGCACCGCGCCAGCACATCCATGGCTTCAAGCCGCAACCTGTCGATTGCCGTGGTATCGTTTTGTTTGTGCGGACTCTCGACAGATGGCTTCATGCTGCAACAACGTCACCGTCTGAGAACAACGGGACTTACAATGAAGAAGGCAACCAACAAGAGCAAGAGCAAGCCGGCGGCCACGCCCTCGGACTCGTCCGCAACGATCGCAGCAGCGGCAGCAGCAGCACCGCTGTCAGCAGGGCCGTCAGGGGAAAGCCTGGAGCCTTCCGATGCTCCCAAGACTGGGAGCGTACCATCATCACCAGCAGCGAGTACTGCCCCGGTCTTCTCCAAACGGAAAACGTTCTGGCAGCCCTTCCTCACCGCCACGGCCAACCCCAGCGCCGCCGCCGCCGGCGGTACGCCGGCAGCGCAGAACGTTCCCGAGGGATCCTCGCCGGGTTTCGATCCCCCTCCCCTCCCGAACAGGAAGTCCTTCTGGCAGCCCTACTACTCCCCGCCGACTGCCGCTGGGGCACCGCCGGTTGCCGACGACCCCGCACCGCCCGCTGCCGTTGCTGAGCCCGAACCACCGGCGACGGCTGAGACGGAGTCGCCAAAGGAGACGGACTCGCCAATGAAGGAAGCACCAACAGTGGCGGAGGAGGTCTCAGCACCAACAACCTCAGCCGCACCGCCCGCTGCTGAGGCCGTCCCGCCACCACAGCCCGCTGCTGCTACGGCCGATTCGTCGCCGCCGTCGCCGGCCCCGCCCGTGGTAGCCTTCGAGCCGGTGCCCACTCTCATCAGCGACAGCCCGGTGTACAAGGACGTCGCCATGACCATCGAGCGCGCCAAGAAGTCGCTGGCGCCGTTCCGGAAGAAGGTTCAGGACAACGTCGGTGGGTCAGCAAGGTTTCGCGTTTGCTTTTGTGGTCCTCCCCCCGCTTCTGGCTTCGCCTCTGAGGGCTTACGTTTTCACGCATCACCACCGTTAGCTGTAACGTACACTTGGTCCCGCAAGGAAGTCTGGCGCAACAGCAGTAGCAGTGTCATAGCGTGACGCATGACATTGTCTTTTCCACGCGCCAAGCACACCCTCCCCCCATCCGCACACCCGGCTTCTCCCTACCCACGAACTTCCTACGCCACCCTGCTTGCCGTACAACCGCACTCGGGAACACGATCCATCTCGGATTTTTTTCTACACCGTAAACAGCCGAGGGTACCGTGGGCGAGCGGGGAGAGGAGTGGGCGATCGCCCAGGGCGCGATCCTCATCTTCGTGGCGATGGGGAGCATCCCCGTCGTCGGGGGCCTCGTGATGGCGCTCGCCGGGCCCGGGCTGTTGGCGGGGGGGTTGGGGGTCATAGCCGCCGGCGTCAACGGACTCGGGAAGAGCCTGTCGCCGTGGCCCGCCCCGGTTAAGGACAACGAGCTCAACACCGACGGGATTTACGGGGTCATGAGGCACCCCATGTACACTGGTGAGATTGGGCGGGGCCGCGGGGGGGATGGGGGGGGGCGTGCTCTTCTTGTTGAGTGCTCTACCACCTCCATCT